GTTACCATGAAGAATTTGTGAAAGAGGTGAATTTTTTTATTTTCGCTTAATTTTTTGAGAATATTTTTCCACATTAAAGGCATGGTATAATGTTTTTCTTAAAATTCTATACTTTTTAAAATGTTAAGGCATATCCCGGTATGACATTTTTCTTGTTTTGCAATTTGCGTCAATGAGATCTTTGCGTAAAATTTTTATTCAATAGCGCAAATAGAATTAACATTGTAATTCACATAGCGATAATATACTACAGATACATCTCTTCAGTAACAAGTCTCGGAGAGATTTTCAAATTTAAGTGTGTCATGACTCTCGACCTTATATAGATCGCGTGGGAAGTTGTTGGGATGAAAAGTCTGAGAATCGTTCGTCTGCGAAAAAAATTTCACAAAAGAAATTATGGATAATATGCCCAAATGGTTTATAAAGCGATTTCGTTTCCTATATAAAATTTATTGAATATAGAAATGCTATATAAATATCTTTTATTCGCTTACATTCGGTTTAAAAACACTTTAAAAAAAAATGGCGAATATTTACAATATGCAACGTTGATTCGATTATTAGCCAAATGATTTAATTTCTGCGTTGTGTAACAGTAATCGCAGTTGGCATTTATTTTTAATTGAAATCCTAAGAATATTCTTCTTTTGGTTTATATCAAATAATAAATTCGACGGCACTATATTTTGAACCTTTTTTTTATATATAGATATTATGTATTTTATATTTTAAGCTTTAATTTGTTTGAAAGGAAGAAATGTTTATTGACATTAATTTTAATTATTTGATTTAGTAAGATAGCATTATTGCCATCATTAAAATGTGCTTGTCATAAGTGCTTAATATTTTCTTGGGAGAAATTTTTAAATTATGTTAAGTGATTGAATAATAATTTACTGAAATTTTTATGTTGTAAATAGAACATCGTTTTTCTTGCATTTGTTAGATAATTTTTTAATTGATTGTCCGATCGTAACTTCTCCAAAGCGATAGCCACAGAATAATCGGGGAGACCTCGTCTCTTTTAATAAAACTACCCGAATCGCCATTCGTTACATTATATTAACTTACGTAAAATTTAAATTAAATGGAATTATTATACAAAACAATAAAACGTGTATCACAAGTCAAATCATCATCGCAGTTCAGCCGATAATAGTGCGGGGTTTTCCAAAAGAATTTTCCATGCTTCCGAAAATCTGGCGACAGTGGCCCCATCTACCACGCGATGATCCGCAGAAAAGCTCACAGGCATAATATGTTTGGGGACCACTTTTTCCGTGATGTGACCAGTCACTTCGTCTCGAGACGTTTCAAATCTCGGCAATCTTTGGATCTTGCCGACCGCAACAATACATAATTCGGAGGTAACGACAACCGGGGAGAGATATGATCCTCCGACAACTCCTATATTTGATATTGTTATGGTACCTTCTTGGAAATCGGCAACAGAAATAGCATTCTTTTTGGCAGCCTCTTGTAAACGTTGCAAATCGCCTGCAATATCGAGAATTGATTTCGTTTGCACGTTTTTCACGTTGGGAACCAATAGTCCACAAGGAGTATCCATTGCAATCCCGATATTATGCGCCTTACGATACTTTATCTTCACGGTTTCAGGATCATTTCCGTCAACAATACAGGCGTTGAGGATCGGGAATTGTTGCAAAGCCACAGAAAGTGATTTAATGAAAATTGGCATGAATGATATCTTTTTGACCGGGAACTGATCGGATTGAGCAAGAAACTCGTTGACTGCATTGCGGTGTGCGATCGAATTATCCAACAGAAACTCATCACAGTATCCAAAATGAGGAATCTGAAGAGATCTCGTCATAGCCTTGAACATTGATTTCTGGATGCTGGTCAGGGGCACAATTTTGTCTTCAACAAGAATGCACGAGTACTTGGTAAAGTGGGTCGAAATTTAAACTCAGTGCACGTGCATTCAATTACTCACCTTCCGTTTCTGGGCTTGCGATATTATTCACGTAATTCAATATATCTTCCTTTGTCACGCGACCATTTTTTCCGGTTCCCTTGACACTTTTAATATCAAGATTATGCTCACGCGCAATGCGCCTAACGGCGGGTGTAGCTAAGGAAGAAGTCTTTTTGTCAGTTGAATTATGCTCAGGGCTTTTGAAATCTTGTATTTGCGATATTACGGGGGAAGCGATATCCTCTATGTTCGCTACTTCGGTGGGCTGCATCTCGTCTTCTTCAACTTCAACTTCGACGTCAACTATTGGTCTTCCCACTTTTGCCATTTCCCCAACCTCATAATGCAACTTCTTTATGGTTCCGGTGTAGCGTGATGTGATTTCGACGGAAGCTTTGTCCGATTGTACATCACAAATTTTGTCGAATTCAGAGATCTGATCACCCGGTTTAACGTACCTACAATATCAGAACGTCGATTCAACCATGGATTTACCTTTCTTTATTATATATATATATATATATATATATGTATGTATTCTTTATTTTATTTTATTTTATTTTTTTACCATTACGAATAATTCGAACATACAGACCATTGTACGATTTCACATTCGGTTATGCCCTCTCCAATGTCGGCAAGCAAAAATGGAACCACCGCGTCTCGAGGACATGACTCATGAAAACCGCGAAAGAAACCTAAAAATTTTGAATTGGTAAAAGTAGGAATGAGGGGATTTAAATGGGTGTTATTCTAACGTGAGGGTGGATTTACATTGTTGATTAGCTTGTTTTTAAAAATTTATTTAAAGGTGATTTTAATAAAATCGCTCTTTACCCTTTTAGCGGTATCCAAACAATTAATGCTGCTAAACTGGCGGGGAATTTGCCAATCGGTGGTTCGTAGGATGGGTTCGTTTACCGTGAATATTCTTTTTCTCTAAGACATTTCACTACATGTTGGATTAGTGTCTCCTCGAAACTTTCAACTCAACTGAGGAAAAAAAGTACTTACACCGTGATAGATAGCATCAAATCGTCTACGAAAAATATTGGGGTATCCGCCGTGTTGGCCAAGAAATTTTTTTATTTGCCTCGACATTAGAATACGAAGAGAATTCAGTTCACTAATATTTGTGAGCACACTTACTATTGGGTGGTTATT